ACCTCCTCGATTTCATGCAGCGCAACACCAGATTCCTCTGCCATCTTAGCCCCGTTGACCACACCCGAAGTACTGGTCTCCATAGATTTCACCGCTTCGTTAGTATCTGCCTGAATCGCATTTACCAGACCTTCAATCTGCTTGGTTGCATTACCGGCACGTTCCGCCAGTCGCTGTACCTCGTCGGCAACCACTGCGAAACCACGACCTGCATCACCTGCGGTCGACGCCTGAATCGCAGCGTTCAATGCAAGGATGTTGGTCTGATCCGCAATCTCAGTAATCAGCCCCACGATGTCTCCAATCTCCTGTGAGGACTCACCAAGTCGTTTGATACGTTTTGATGTTTCCTGAATTGAATCACGAATAACATCCATACTAGATATCGTGTTACGTACCACGACCGCACCTTTCTGCGCGATCTCCATCGATTTCTGCGCCACCTCTGCTGAGTTTGACGCATCACCAGTCACTTTCTCCATGGAGTCAGCCATATCGGTGATAGCCGCACTCGCTGATGCAATTTCACGTGCCTGATGGTTAGATGATTCTGCAAGTCTTGCAGCAGTACCCTGTGCAGCATTAGTCGAATACGAAACTTCTTCTGCCGTAGAGTTGATCGTTGTTACCAATGTTCTAAGTGCGTCAATCGCAAAGTTCACCGAGTCTGCAATCGCACCTGTGATTTCTTCGGTAACTGTCGTATGCACGGTCAGGTCACCATCCGCAAGATTCGCCATCTCGTCCAGCAGCTGAAGAATCGCTCGCTGGTTTCTTCGGTTGTTTTCTAACGCTGCATCCTCACGTCGCCTTGAATCGCGCAACATCAAGATACCACCGATGATGATCAGGATAACGGCAACACCACCGAATGCGACACCAACTAACTGGCCTTTATCAAGAAAACTACCTTGATTGATAATCGTCCTTTCAAGATCCTGAAGTGATTGCAACAAATCGTTACTACCGCTTTCGATACCGTTCGCTGCATCTTTCACTTCGAATAACTCAGGTGATAACTCAAGAATACCAGCGACGTTTGCGCTCACTGCACTGATGAGCATTGCC